AATAATTGCAATAAAATAATTGCAATAAAATAATTGCAAGAAAAATAATTGCAAGAAAAATAATTCCAAGAAAAATAATTGCAATAAAATAATTGCAATAAAATAATTGCAATCAATAATTGCTGCAAAGTAATTGCAAGAAAAAAATTGCAAAAAAAAATAATTGCAAGAAAATAATTGCAACAAAAATAATTGCAAGAAAATAATTTCAACAAAATAATTGCAATAACAAATTGCAATAAAAAGGACAGGGGGGGAACTCCATCCCTGAGGATTTCCAAGCCATGGATGTGGATTGAGCACATGGATTAGTGGTGGATGTTTCCCCTGAATTCCCTGTTAAATTCCTTTGAATTCTCTGCTAAATTCCCTTGAGTTCCCTGCTAAATTCTACCGAATTCCCCGCTAAATTCTCCTGAATTCCCTGCTAAATTCCCTTGATATCCCCTCTAAATTCCCTTGAATTCTCTGCTAAATTCCCCAGAAATCCCCACTAAATTCCCTTGATATCCCCTGTAAATTCCCTTGAATTCCATGCCAATTTTCCCTAAATTCCCTGCTAAATTCTCCTCAATTCCCCTCTAAATTCCCTTGAATTCCCCGCTAAATTCCCCTGAATTCCCTGCTAATTTTCCCTGAATTCCCTGCCAAATTTCTTTGAATTCCCTGCTAAATTTCCCTGAAATCCCTGCTAAATTCTCCTGAATTCTGTGTTAAATTCCCTTGAATTTCCCACTGAAGTCCCTTGAATTCCCTGCTAAATCCCCTGAATTCCCTGCTAAATCCCTTGAAATTCCCACTAAATTCCCTTGAAATTTCTGCTAAATTCCCTGCTAAATTCCCTTGAATTCCCCTCTAAATTCCCTGAAATCCCCCCTAAATTCCCCCATTATCCCCCTGTCTAACTCAATGGGATCACCACTCCCATTTTCCCATCCCCACCACATTTGGGGCCGTTTCACTCCACGATTCCCCCATTTCCACCGCAGATCTGGCAGTGTGGGGGTTCCCTGGAGATYGTCACCTGCTCCCACGTGGGACACGTTTTCCGAAAAGCCACCCCCTACACCTTCCCGGGGGGCACCGGCCACGTCATCAACAAGAACAACCGGCGCCTGGCCGAGGTGTGGATGGACGAGTTCAAGGATTTCTTCTACATCATCTCCCCGGGTGAGGCTTTGGGATCACAGCGTTGCCTTTTTGGCAAAAAACACCAAAAATTGTGGCCAGTTTTTAATAATGATTCGGTTAAGGGGATAACGGTATTGAGCTGCCTTTGGGATCACAGCGTTGCCTTTTTGGTAAAAAACACCAAAAATTGTGGCCAGTTTTTAATAATGACACCATTTAAGGGATAAAAATGGTTTTACCTTGGTTATTGTGCTGCCTTTGGGATCATAGCGTTACCTTGATGGCCAGTTTTTCATAATGACATGTTTAGGAGGTAAAATGGGTTTTACCTTGGTGTTGAGCCATGTTTAACTGGGGGAAGTGTTGCTTTGAAGAGCCAGTTTTTAATAATGACACGGTTTAGGGGGATAAAAACGGGTTTTACTTCGGGATTGAGCTGTGTTTTAACCAGGGGTGGATGGACGAGTTCAAGGATTTCTTCTACATCATCTCCCTGGGTGAGGCTGCGCCTTTTTGGCAAAAAAACACCAAAAACTGTGGCCAGTTTTTAATAATGGCACGGTTTAGGGGATAAAAAGGGTTTTACCTTGGTTAATAATGACACAGTTAAGGTTAAAAGGGTTTTACCTCGGTATTGAGCTGTGTTTAACTGGGGGATGGACGAGTTCAAGGATTTCTTCTACATCATCTCCCCGGGTGAGGCTGCTTTGGGATCACAGCGTTGCCTTTTTGGTGAAAAACACCAAAAATTGTGGCCAGTTTTTAATAATGACATGGTTAAGGGGATAGAAAGGGCTTTACCTCAGTATTGAGCTGCCTTTGGGATCACAGCATTGCCTTTTTGGCAAAAACCACCATAAACTGTGGCCAGTTTTTAATAATGACATGTTTAAGGGGATAACGGTATTGAGCTGCCTTTGGGATCACAGCGTTGCCTTGATGGCCAGTTTTTCATAGTGACATGTTTAGGGGATAAAAAGGGTTTTACCTCGGTGTTGAGCTGCCTTTAGGATCACAGCATTGCCTTGATGGCCAGTTTTTAATAATGACACAGACATGGTTAGGTGGATAAAAACAGGTTTTACCTCGGTGTTGAGCTGTGTTTAACCAGCGGAAGTGTCGCCTTGAATGGTCAGTTTTTAATAATGACTCGGTTTAGGGGATAAAAAGGGTTTTACCTCAGTATTGAGCTGTGTTTAACTGGGGGAACAGCCAGTTTTTAATAATGACACAGATAGGGTTAAAAGGGTTTTACCTCGGTATTGAGCTGTCTTTGGGATCACAGCATTGCCTTGATGGGCAATTTTTAATAATGACTTGGTTTGGGGGATAAAAAGGGTTTTACCTCGGTGTTGAGCTGTGGGATTTTCCCCCGACACTGCTCTCTGATGAGCTCTTCTGTCCCATTCCAGGGGTGGTGAAGGTGGATTATGGAATTTGAGATTTTCCCTAAACACCAGTATTTCATCAACTCTTCTCTCCCATTCCAGGGGTGGTGAAG